TTTGAGTGAATTATCTTCAGTAGTTACTAAAATATCGCAGTTTTCGTATTTCCGAAAATTACCGTTATATGGGATGTGGGCGTGGTTATTGTCCGATTTTTAAAATTTTCGGCCATTTAGTATGCTGTATCAAGGCCAACAACTGTGCCAAGTTTGGAAGAAATTTGTGCAGCGGTTACCAGATATACACATGTAACCATAAGTGGGCGTGGCTACGCCCATTTTCCAAAAATTTATAATATTCTTATTTTTCGTCTGAAAATTATTACAAGTATCAATTTTGAGTGAATTATCTTCAGTAGTTACTAAAATATCGCAGTTTTCGTATTTCTGGAAATTACCGTTATATGGGAAGTGGGCGTGGTTACTGTCCGATTTCGCCCATTTTCAACTCCAACCTACCTTGGATTAACAAAAACCTATATACCAAATTTCGTTGAGATATCTCAATTTTTGCTCGAGTTATCGTGTACACGGACGGACGGACAGACAGACATGGCTTAATCGATCTCTCTATTCATTCTGAGATTTGTTTTGTCTGTTACAAACAACCGTTATGTGAACAAAATTAATATACGCTTGTGCACAAGTGCGCTCGGGTATAAAAAATTTAAATTTCGGGCTTCTAAATTAAAATGATATTTATTATTCAATAGACAAAAACAGGATGAATTAAGAACAAATTCAAATTTATGGCGTTTTCTTTCCTACAGACAAATCTCATTACCGGCTTCGCTCAAGCAGCAAGAAGAGGGCAAAACATTTTCTAGAAAAAAAATGTCTATGAATATGGACTCAATATGTTCTTGTGTACATATACATATGTAAAAGCGCAAGGGTCAACATTTGACTTAAAAAAAAAAATAAATTGGTACCGCTTGTTAGAGCGGGAGATTTTTTTCCATAACTGAACATTTTTGAGTGTCCGCGTCCGTTTATCGGAAAGTCCGTTAAGGGGAGAGCATTTTGTATGGAAAAATACCAAAAATTTTCCGTTCCCAAGACTGTGTCCGCTTATAGGAGATGTCCGCTTATTAGAGCGTCCGTCTATGCGAGCTTTCACTGATATATAAGTAAAGTGTTTAAATTTACCTTGGTCTTCACTTTTTCCTGTATCTTTACGCATCTTTGTTTTTGTTTTTATTTTTACCTTTGCCTTTATCCTTTTCTTTATCTATGTACGTAGTCACCTTTACTTTCATTCTTGTATTGGTCTTTTTCTAAGTGTTATTCTTTTAATTTTTGATAAATTAATACCATATGCATACACACAAGCCCCAACCATTTCCGTTGCACCATTTCCGTATGCAATTTCCGTTGAATTTGCCAATTTACTCCCAACCAACCAACCGCCGCTGAAGAAGTTTCACTTCAAAAGTGGTTAAATAAACAGTTGGGTATTATTATTGAAAGTCTCCTGAAGAGAACCAGAGTTTTCCGATCGAAAATTTTGATTTTCAAGTACTGACTAAGACGACATCACCGCCAACCAAAAATGCGTACCATGGGCAAGACAAGGGATATGCGCCGCCCTGTGCAATCTAATATAGCTTAAATGAACGCAAATTCGAGTTCCGATTTTTGGTGCGAGAAACCCTTCGTCAGGGGATATTGTCAATGACCGTGACCAGCGCTCTAGACGTCGGCTATTAGATCTTATCGAACATATTGTGAAAGCCTAAAGTCCACCTTTATCGAACTCTTAAACCTTATCTGTGTGGGGTTAGGTCTGGTAAGTTTTCAACATCCACGGTAGTCCAACTTGATTTAATTAATGCTTGTGAGATCTATATTAGCTGCACTTTTAATTAAGCACTTTGCTAAGCAAACGTGAGAAAATTAGTATTTCGTTTCTTCCCAAACAATTGGAGTTCTATGAAGTTATTTTAAACTTAAACTTAAAAATCTTCACGCTGCGCTCTCGATTCCCCTAACTCTGCTTGTTTTTTCCTTGTGCGAACGTCAAAACCTGATAATTTGTGATAATTATCAGGTTAACGTACCAAACAAGTATTTATGTACTTATTTAAAAAGATTAATGACCATCAATACTACAACTGCTGTGATTTTCCATTATGTATATATATGTATATATGCAAACAGAATCTTCGTTGTGTTTCTCTTCCGCTAAGCGTAGGCGAGCTCCTGAATTATGTTATTTTAATTTATTATTAACATCTGCATTTCTTTTACTTTTATTGCTTTTTCGCTTTATTTTTAAGCTGTCGCATCACGTTCAACTTGGCACACTAATTATCGCTTTAAAAGGCGCATAATTTAAATATTTACATAATAATTAGTTAGTCGTAGTTCACAACTTCTCTACTGTTGTTAGGCATGCATACAAGTGTACAAATATTTATACGAGTAATTTTGTAAAATTCAGACCCATCATATATGTAGTTATGTATATGTGCTTACCTACGTATGTATGTGCACATGGTTATGTATGTTTACGATCATTATCGGTCACTTACCTTAGAATGCTGAAAATTTGTGAAATAAAATGTTAC